TGTTTGTTTGGCGACTCCAGATTCCGACTTTCAGACCGGACTATTATATTCGGCGCTCGGTATTCGCACAATGAGACTGAATTTTCGAAAGATATGACGTTTCCCTGATGGACTTAAGCAATCGGGCAATTGAGTTCGGAGTATCAGTCCAAACTTTTGAGCTCCATCTGGGCATCCTGGTGTCTCAGCGATGCTGGAAAATTATTCCACCAGACTTTTCCCTCAGAGGTATGATTGCTTCAGTGGACAATGAAGTTTGGTGGGCTGCAAAAATGAATGCAGATTAGGGTGGTTCTTGGATTGAGCACACACGCAAAAAATGCAGCATTATGGCTCAAATGTTTTGCAGCTGAGAGCATTGTGCGGCTAAGGGGCCCCATTATATTCTGTGGTTTTTCGAAAATTACTTTTTAATCACCGCTCCGAATTTACGGCTGGGGGTTGTTCTCAAGTGCCAATGGGCATTAAAGACGCAGATTTCTACCGATTGACTTCATTCACATTAAGCCAAAATTTCTCTCGTGATCCTACATTCACAAAGCCAAGCTACACTTGTAAGGTGTGATATGATGAGAAAATCTCCAAGAGGAAAAAACCCTCTGAGGAAGAAAACATTGTCAATATTTGAAGTGTACTCGCGTACAGACTTTTGTGGTTCTGACATATAAATCAATTAAATCCCAGATGAAACCCTTGTTTATGATGTTCCTCAACTAAACGTTCTTGACAAAGATCACTTTATGTTTCACTTTGCAATATATCCGAAATATCTCGGTATATTTTCTTGAAAAAATTCCTCCTAAGCTCTCTGAATGATGTCTCCCAAGGTCCTTACTACGGGTGACTCTCATCTCACGGAGGCAGCTTAGCTGAGTTTGTTGATGATGGTGATGGCTTTCATAATCAACTGTAAGCTCGCTGCTTTACTGCCCTGGCTCATCCAACTGTGAAAAAGACTTCTCAGAGGAAGCTGGTCTACTGGCATACGGAACATGTGAACAAGACATTGCAGCCTTTAAACTGAGGTTATCCCATCGACCGTGGACGATATATTTCCCCCAAAAATATTCGGCGTACTACATCTTTAATGATCCAATGTTCCGGATATAATCGAGCAATGCCCCGTGCACATCAGTCATCAAACAGTGAAAGATTTAACGTCGTCAACGCGAATTGGCCAGATTCGTGACTCATGTAACAATATGGAGCACATCAAAGCGTTATAAACGCGACACTCGTCAGACAAACTGATATCACATCTATACGACGGATGATAGTGGCTGACAAAACCACTCTGATCCTCACGATTTGGATAGCAATAAGGTTTTCAGAAAGAGCAGAGTAACTGATGCAGATACTCGGCCAAACAAATGTGTCCGTCACTTCAACCGGTTCATCCATAAACACTTGGTTTGAGAATGATCCCCCAAAGTCCGGAAGCTTTACTCTACACTGTACAGATGTGATTTGTGTAACAATCCACGAGGTAGGACTGCTTAGTTTAGTTAATACTGTTTACATTTCTATGTGGTCAGATCCAAGGATCACTGTGTTGACTGCATTCTTGAAGCAACGTCATGGGAGCATTTCTACAACGAAGGTATTCGAGGCTGCAAGTTTATTAATTCTCCTTCATCATATCGACGACAAATTTGAGGCTGTTATATCTACTGATTCACCAATCTGTGGTATCTGCAGCTGACCCGCTCTAGTGCCCAGTGCCTGAAAAAAGACTGACAGATGGGAACACAACAGTTATATTCCGAAAAAGCAAGTGCAAGAGCGTGAGTGCGTGCGAGTGCGAGAGCAAACGTTACAACGGCCCTACACTATTTAAAGGGAACTTTCTGGCAATAATCCAGGCTGTCTGATACTCTTTAGTGAACACCCGTCAACATCGATCGTATTTCTATAAGATGCCTGAACGCTGATCACATTCGGTCGTGCTCCTGTGGTGTGCATGAGGACTCACTGGCTTCTGCTGAATTGATTGAATGATTGAATTGCCCGGATGCTTACCGGCTTTCCTGTTGAGATTTTGGTGGAGCAGTAGAATTCGGGCCTTCTGAGGTTACTTTCAGGAATACGACCTTTCTGATACCTCCCCCTTTTGACTGTTCAGCGTAAAATTTTCGGCGACCGGTACGGCGTCTTGGTTGCAGAAATGGATCCGTTTTGAGCGGTACATGCGAAGCAGTGGCTATAGGTGCTGGTCTTGGGAGATCAAAGGGTTCAAGCAGTAGGTTGAGGTCTAGTAACTGTTCTCCCGCCTTTGGGATCTGGCACTCAGTCGGCCGTAATTGATTGACATGTCGTTTCCATATCAATGATCCCACTTGGACGCTGTAAATCACCTGACCGATTCTTTTGAGGAGGACTCCAACAGTCCATCTTCGGTGCCCGGGGCGATAGTCCCTGACAAGCACACGGTTGCCAGACCGGAATGTTGGCTTCCCTCTTGTCGGTGATGGAAAACATGTAAGTGTTGGTAGGATAACGTCATGGGCAAGTCTCAACCGTCTGTTCATCATAACCTCTGCTGGAGAGCGACCGTCCGGAGATTGTGGATTAGGGGTTGCTCTACAGTTCAGCAGGAACGTATCCAGTACTTCTGTCGTGGTCCCCTCCCCTTCTGCTTTTGTCAACGCGCGTTTAAAGGTGTCAGCAAACCGTTCAGCCTGACCGTTGGATTGGGGATGGGTGGGTGGGGAAGTAACATGTGTGATGCCGTGCCTTCGAGCGAATTCACTAAACTGATGGGATGTGAACTGAGGACCATTGTCGGACACAATAGTTTCCGAGATACCGAATATTGAAAACAGGAATCGTGCCTTTCTAATAGAGGCGGAACTGGAAAGAAGATAGCCTTGCCTGGCATCATTGGATGCAACTAGTTCAGCCTTACCGCGGGAACTCATGTGTCCATGGAAGTAAGCGCTCACACTTGGGGCCGAAATTTGCACCACAACCATTATTATACAGCTCAACGACCAAGTGATTCAAAGGTAGCTTCCAGGCAAAAAAAGATGGCCACATTTGATTGCCGCGTGTGTTGCTTTCGGAAACTGGATCGATGCTGGACATATCGCAGAGTGTTTAACGAACTCAATAAGGCCAAACGCACTTTCGACGCTACATACAGCCACCAGGATAATGTCCTAATGGATCCTGTGCACTTTTCACCTAACCTTTCAAAGAAATAAATACTTTTTGAGGTAACCATTTACGTTGATTTTTTTCCTTCTAGGCTGAGTGGACAGTATTTTGCCATTCATTAATACTTCAAACTGTTTTTCGCAGGATGTTCGGACGTGAAACTTGTGCAAAAATAGCAGATTCTCCTTCCCCAATTTTGTGTGAACTGCTTACCTAACTTAATGAAAACATCATGTTAGTGCTGACTGAAACAAATGTGACAATTAGGAGCTGAATGTTACCATTCTGTATTGTCCCACGGGTGAACTAGGCTTCCGAAACGCAACGAAACCAACCGCAAAAGAATTCAAATTCAGAAATCAAAGAACTCAGTTGACAATCTCCTATTTTGCTGGTGGAATATCACTTGATAGTTCTCACATCCAAATAGCTCAATTCTTTCAGTTGATCTTCAAAAAGGTGTATGACTAATGAGACCGCTGTTCAGCTGATCAGTGCAAACAACCGGATCGATCCGGCAGAATAGCTCAGTGTTCAGGATGACACCTAATCATTCTAAGGCCTTGCGCCAATGAGCGTTAGGAACAGTCGAGGCGATTATCATCCGGCTACATTATCCGTCCATATGTCGCCAAAAAAGATGCAATCGCGGCTAGGCGGGCCTTGCGCCAATGAGCGTTAGGAACAGTCGAGGCGATTATCATCCGGCTACATTATCCGTCCATATGTCGCCAAAAAAGATGCAATCGTCTACTAGGCGCATTTCCCGCCAAACAAAATAATTAGACCTATGTTAAAGCTATTGAAACCATATAGATCATCCTTGTTTGGGCACGTGCGATCGGTCTGGAAGGGACACCTAGATTTTAGTCCTTATTAGAGTAACTTAATAGCACATATCCTTGATGGTTACATAGACATCGTTACCATAGACATGTTGGGCACGCGTCTTACCACTATTCCACTAGCACACACAAGGATTATTTGAGCTACAACGAATGGAGCGATGAACTTTACTCGGAGTAGTGATGTGGTTTCAGATCTGACAAACCCCACAAACAATCGAACAGAAACGTCTGGCAGTTACAGCCACTACTGACGCTTCTTATTTGGGAAGTTCTGAAGGATGAGTCAGTCGATGGACACACAGAACAGTTATTAGTTCACTTTTAGACCCGCCGGGCAAACCAGACACATCTGTCGAAGTGCAAACATGCTTAGCTGCTTAGAAATTCAGCTGTCTTCCGGCAAGCAATTCGAGCCCAGTGCCTCCTAGTTTTCATGTTAACGCACCGAATAATCGTAGCAGACGAGTGCGTACAAAAATTCTTCAAAATCCACAGGCTCTCATGTTTGTTCAGCCTCGGACCGCTGTTGGCAAATTTCTTCAAAGAAATGCGCGTTAAGAAGGCCGGTTGTACTAGCTAAACTGTAATTGCTAATATGGATTAAAGAATTCCACAAACTGTAATGACCGCACTACGAAGCGTTTCCCCCTGGTGATTTACCCTTTTTTCAGGAAGAAAGGCCCTTGTCTGCTTTTTCCATGGGTTCACCTGCATCTTCTAGAAAATCTAACAAAATTTGAACTGACCCATTTTATTCGGTTCTTTCAGAATCTCGCATGGGGTGAACTTACTTCTCGGCTTTCACCAACATGCAAAGGCTGTACGAAACCAGTGAAGGGTAGCACAGTATTGATTTTATTCAAGCAGAGTGGATCGGATCAATCATCAAAACTTGAAACACTCAGGGCGTCTCCCCTGAGTCTGAGGAAAAGAAGCCAGAGGTGCACCCAGTCGGATGGAGAAAACTGCTACCCAAGTGCACTTTATTTTTCTGGAATGTACTCAGAGATAGCGGCACGTGATGCAGGTCTGGATTCGCTTCAACATTTCGCCAATCAACTGGAGGTCTATCATCCAGATTGCCTGAAATGTGCCCGGTGTGGTGAACAGCTATCAGCTATGGACCGAAGATGCTGGAAATATAAGAAATGTGCTGTATTATGCTTGCAGTGTAGAATTCGGTGAGACGGTTCAATATGTTCCTTTTGTCAGAATAGCAATTGCGGGATGGTAATTTCAGTTGTAAATTTCTACAGCCAGTTTTGCTAATCGTAATTTATCTGAGAAACCATCAATTAGGGTCAAATCCCGGCTTTATTTCAGGACATTTTAGTGTATGTAGATATCTTTGAGCAAAACCCAATAAAAACGACCTTAGCTTGATTGTGGACGATACGATTCAACTAGTTCAAATATATTGAACCGGATGGCTGTTGATCTATTCACTGAGCTTGGCAATTGATTTACAGACGTTTTGTCACCATTCGAGGAGACCCAACCAACAGCGCACTGAAGATGCCTCCTCGAATGGTGACGAAACGTTTGCAAATCAATTGCCAAGCTCGACGAACAAATCAACAGCCACCTGCTCAGTTACCGACCAATGCACCCGAGCTATCAATATTCCAACACATTACCAATATTGATCTAGATTTCATGCTGCAAGAGAAAAATATCTTCTGAAGGGTCAAGAAGCACTGTACAACTGTTGAATCCTTAGTAGAAATAATCAGAAATGCCCTTTTCACGAGACTCCAGTGAGCCTTAAATCAAAGGCCTTTTGACCAATAGTTTGAACACATAATGGTTCGGCCATTGGAGACAGATTAGCAATATGATAAACTTGTAGCTACATAGAATATACAGTGCCTATCGTTGTTTAATGGCCTTCAAAGTGACAACTTCTCAGTTGGAATCTCTGCCCACCACGTGGAATTATTTTTCCTCTGAGCTACGCATAGACTGATTTTTAAACCAATTAGAAGTCCTGATTGCATGCAGTTTTTTTCTGTGTTTTCTTCCTATGAATATCGAATAGCGCGCCAACTGACATGCTGTCTTGACCTTGGGTTTATCCAGGATTCCAAACATCCAGTGTATGGTTTGTGGATATTTGTACAAACGGTATGCTCCCCAGCCATCATCAAGACTGCCGTTTCAAGTAGTCCGCTGGGCCTTTAATTCCTTTAGACATCTGAGGTTCGCAAAACAACAAGTAAAGAATAACTAGTGACTAGTTTCCTTTATGAAAATATACTGCGCTATCTCGAATATCGTGCCAACTGAATCATGAGGCGGCCTGTGTGCAGCACGTTCAGTTGTAGAATATCATAAACGAGAGATTTAGTTGAGTCTCTCGTGAAAACCAAATTGGTTTGCAAATGAGTGTATTTCTCGAAAACATTGCAATTTGGGTTCAATTAGGTCATAAGGTTGACGGAAACTCGGGGACTGCGTCTACGTGATGAGCCCCAAGAAGGGTGAAACCGGCCGTGGGCTGTCGATGATATATCAGCAACATGTTTTGTCTTTGTAAGAAGACAACCTGAATTGGCCATTGAGAACTGGTCTTTTCTAATGAGGAGTGAATTAGAAAACGATTTGGATTTGAGTGTTACGGACTATTTCATCCTTCAAAAATGGCTTGCAGGAGAAGTAACCAGTGAGAATTCTCTCGCATGCATTCGGTCTCAAGATATCTGTAGCCGAGCCTCTTTTAGCGGTTCTCATGAGGATGTGAGAGGAAATTTCGTTTTGCTTGAAATGAGTACCATAGTTATCAAATATTCTCGCCTGTATGTGATTTATGCTACTAGCGCGTCTGTTTTTTGTGGTTATTTCGCTTCATTTAAGTCATTAGGAACCGATATATATTCAACTAATTATACTCGACACGGTGATCTACCAAAAATAGACATTTTTATTCAACGGAAGAAACAACGTCCTTCCATCTGATTTATATGTGATACTTTCAACCAGCATTTTAACTACGGAACGTCCTAACAAATGGAATGATGTAGGTATTCAGTGCTAAATTATCGACCAAATCAAATGGAGAAAATAGTCCAAGGTGTAGAAATTCAGTACATAGATTATGCTCGTGATGCATTCGTTAGAGTGATGTCACAACCAATGATCTTGTTCAGTGACATAAGAAATTTCCAATGCGGAATTTTTACATATACAGTGGTTTGATCCATTGTAGAACAGGAAAATGTATTGTATTTGAGCCCGTGTGTGTGTATTCTAAGGAGGACACTCGGCTCGGAAAATTCCACCCCAAAAGTTCTTCGCCCCATGAAAGTGCATCCTATTGCGAGGCTTCTGGAGATGGAAGAAAAGTTGATGGTGCCAACTGTGAGCATCCTGCGGGTGCTACTGTGTGCAAACTGTCCAAAACACTATTTCGCCCTCCAATGCAAGCTGTCGCTTCCCATTGGTCAATCATATCCATCGAAATGTTCGGAAAGTAAATTAGCGTAATGTACAACAGTAGAAGCGGTATGGCGGTAAAACCTCAAACACCATGCAGATTAGCGTATCACAAGTCACGTTCAAGAGTCCCACCTGCCTGATCATACGAAGTAGTCTTAGCTCCACCAGCGTTGAGAAGCCCTCAGTAGCAGACATCCGGATGACGTCGGTCAGGCTTCCACTATCGCATTACCATAAATGCCCTCCAGCATACCTGACAAACGACAACGCCATGAAACCCACCACCGAATTTGGAATAGACCTCCTTCAAAAGAACACGGACACTTGAAGCGTGTCACGCACTTGGAATCTGTGCGTCTGGTATCTACTGAGAGCGGTTGTGATCACAATGTTTTTTATTGCGTAAGCTGTGAGTTGGTCCTCGTACAGACCTAAAGTTTGGTGTTAGCTTCAGCAGACGGAAACAAATGACATTTATCGTTTATGGTTCCTCCTTAGGACAAGCCCTCAAAACGCCAAACACATGAATACAATATTCGTATAACGCGGAACCTGAGAGATTACTTTAATTCTTCCAGATAATATGGATTCGTTGCCCAACAAACAAGATGGGTCACAGAGTCATGCTAGATGTTGGTAGTCCACCGCGACTCTGCTGCTTTTTACCAGACTGAATAGCAAGTAGACACAAACGGGTTGAACGTGGTAGTTGTTAGGCATACTGGCTTATTTTGGACAACATTCGCAGGTGTTCTGTAATTTCCGCCCCCAAACATTCATGCATCACCTGAAACCTACTCATGAGTAGTATAAAATTAAAATATGTGCGGTTACGCAGGTTGGTGTGCTTTGAAGCGAAATCGAGCGCAGCAACCCAAGAAAAATTCCATTTCTGATACCCCGTGCGCATGTTACAATTTCTATCCTATTCCAGTGGTAAAGGACCAAAATGACACTTTTTGTGGCTCCAAATACGCGCAAACCATAAGGGACTGACATTAAAACTCTGTGTCGTAACCGTCGGCCGGTCGGGTATATTTCTATGGATAGTTCACCAAAGCCTTACCGGATAGTTATGATTTAATGCATGGCTCTACAGAAGACCAGCAGTGCATTCTGAAAAGGCTTTTGCATTTGTTTATGAATGGAGTTCCCATATGACACAGTCAGTAGTACACATTTGATGTATTTGTTACACGGATATGCCTACGCACGTATTTTAAAGGAAAAATCAAGATAATGTTCAAAACAGGTGACAGTTGTGTACACATTGGTGACGGAATGAGATAAGCAAAGTGCGGTTGTGTGAAACGTATGATGCTTGTCACAACGAGAATTTAGATGTGGTTGAAATCGGTACTTTTGGCTTATGCTACAGATTTCCAACATCCACGAGAATGACACTTCTTACTGGTGTCTGATCAGATGGCAGTTGATCTGTTCACCGAGCTCGGCAACTGGCTTGTAAACGTTCCATCCTTAGTCGGGGAGACATCGTCAGTGCGCAGTTGAATGGGTCAACTTTGCACTCACGACGTCTCCTCGACTGGGGACGAATAGTTTGCGAGAAAATTGCCAAGCTCGGTGAACAGGTCAACTGCCATCTGATCAACCACCAGTGAACACACCCGAGCTACCTAAATTTCGACAAATTGACAATGACACTTCTTACACCGCGGTGTTTACAAGGACGAAATATGGCTCATCGCAATTCACCGTTTTGCTTGTTTGAATTCATCGGAGTTAAGGAATGTGCACCTGGACTCTCACAGAAAGCCGTTTTAACAATAATCGTCGTTGTAAATTTCAGACGCTGGAACTTGGCTTATTGATTTTCCAGGCAATACACTCACTTGGAAACTGCTTTGACTATTCCCCTGTTTATTACACTGAAGACTGACTCACTGCGCTCGGTGCAGGCTCCGGGTTGCCGAGCAACCCAAGAAAAATTCCATTTCTGATACCCCGTGCGCATGTTACAATTTCTATCCTATTCCAGTGGTAAAGGACCAAAATGACACTTTTTGTGGCTCCAAATACGCGCAAACCATAAGGGACTGACATTAAAACTCTGTGTCGTAACCGTCGGCCGGTCGGGTATATTTCTATGGATAGTTCACCAAAGCCTTACCGGATAGTTATGATTTAATGCATGGCTCTACAGAAGACCAGCAGTGCATTCTGAAAAGGCTTTTGCATTTGTTTATGAATGGAGTTCCCATATGACACAGTCAGTAGTACACATTTGATGTATTTGTTACACGGATATGCCTACGCACGTATTTTAAAGGAAAAATCAAGATAATGTTCAAAACAGGTGACAGTTGTGTACACATTGGTGACGGAATGAGATAAGCAAAGTGCGGTTGTGTGAAACGTATGATGCTTGTCACAACGAGAATTTAGATGTGGTTGAAATCGGTACTTTTGGCTTATGCTACAGATTTCCAACATCCACGAGAATGACACTTCTTACTGGTGTCTGATCAGATGGCAGTTGATCTGTTCACCGAGCTCGGCAACTGGCTTGTAAACGTTCCATCCTTAGTCGGGGAGACATCGTCAGTGCGCAGTTGAATGGGTCAACTTTGCACTCACGACGTCTCCTCGACTGGGGACGAATAGTTTGCGAGAAAATTGCCAAGCTCGGTGAACAGGTCAACTGCCATCTGATCAACCACCAGTGAACACACCCGAGCTACCTAAATTTCGACAAATTGACAATGACACTTCTTACACCGCGGTGTTTACAAGGACGAAATATGGCTCATCGCAATTCACCGTTTTGCTTGTTTGAATTCATCGGAGTTAAGGAATGTGCACCTGGACTCTCACAGAAAGCCGTTTTAACAATAATCGTCGTTGTAAATTTCAGACGCTGGAACTTGGCTTATTGATTTTCCAGGCAATACACTCACTTGGAAACTGCTTTGACTATTCCCCTGTTTATTACACTGAAGACTGACTCACTGCGCTCGGTGCAGGCTCCGGGTTGCCGAGGATGCTCTAGTACACAAATTCGATCAAGTCCCCTTCCATGTGGCTTGTCTTACCTGTGACAAGTGCAGGTGTCAGCTACGTCCTGGTGACAAATGCGGTCTTTTGGATGATCGACTCTATTGCATTGAACACTATCTTTCTTGTCTAATGATGTCTGGTTTCTACGACCCGTCGACGGATCCCACGGAGCCGATGAGTTGCACAGAAAGGGTGGAAGCCACGAGCAATGACTATGAACGTCCTCAGACAATCCAAGGGCGAACAATGGAGCCGGATTCGCGGAGGTCAAATACTTGCATGCAAACACATAAACACATCGGTAAGCCCACTGTTTATCCTTCTGTCTCGCTCGTTCCATCTCGGATTTTCTCGAGAAAAGTCTCAAGCCAAGTGACAAAGTGTTGTGTGAAACGTATGATGCTTGTCACAACGAGAATTTAGATGTGGTTGAAATCGGTACTTTTGGCTTATGCTACAGATTTCCAACATCCACGAGAATGACACTTCTTACTGGTGTCTGATCAGATGGCAGTTGATCTGTTCACCGAGCTCGGCAACTGGCTTGTAAACGTTCCATCCTTAGTCGGGGAGACATCGTCAGTGCGCAGTTGAATGGGTCAACTTTGCACTCACGACGTCTCCTCGACTGGGGACGAATAGTTTGCGAGAAAATTGCCAAGCTCGGTGAACAGGTCAACTGCCATCTGATCAACCACCAGTGAACACACCCGAGCTACCTAAATTTCGACAAATTGACAATGACACTTCTTACACCGCGGTGTTTACAAGGACGAAATATGGCTCATCGCAATTCACCGTTTTGCTTGTTTGAATTCATCGGAGTTAAGGAATGTGCACCTGGACTCTCACAGAAAGCCGTTTTAACAATAATCGTCGTTGTAAATTTCAGACGCTGGAACTTGGCTTATTGATTTTCCAGGCAATACACTCACTTGGAAACTGCTTTGACTATTCCCCTGTTTATTACACTGAAGACTGACTCACTGCGCTCGGTGCAGGCTCCGGGTTGCCGAGGATGCTCTAGTACACAAATTCGATCAAGTCCCCTTCCATGTGGCTTGTCTTACCTGTGACAAGTGCAGGTGTCAGCTACGTCCTGGTGACAAATGCGGTCTTTTGGATGATCGACTCTATTGCATTGAACACTATCTTTCTTGTCTAATGATGTCTGGTTTCTACGACCCGTCGACGGATCCCACGGAGCCGATGAGTTGCACAGAAAGGGTGGAAGCCACGAGCAATGACTATGAACGTCCTCAGACAATCCAAGGGCGAACAATGGAGCCGGATTCGCGGAGGTCAAATACTTGCATGCAAACACATAAACACATCGGTAAGCCCACTGTTTATCCTTCTGTCTCGCTCGTTCCATCTCGGATTTTCTCGAGAAAAGTCTCAAGCCAAGTGACAAAGTATTTGACTGAGTACGTGCTGACAACTCGGTGCAGACGGAGTGAAATTGTAGTCGGGCTGTCAGCTCCATAGATGTATCGACCAAAAGAGTAGAAAACTGTTAAATCGTTACTTGAAAGGATCAATGTATGATACACTTCCATGATGACCTTCACGTTATAACTCGACTACAATGTTGAGGAAAGAATGCCGGTCACCGACTGAATTTTAGTGCAAATGGATGGTACGCGGTTACGAATGGGTAGGGAAAATTCATCGATAAGCTGAAAGCTGAATAATTATCGATGCAGCGGGTAGATCAGTAGTCTGATACGAGTACAAGAACGGTCGATACTCAAGTTCAAGTTCAAATCCGTGTTTTATAGAGAAAAATGTTGGTAGCTCAGGTAGCGTATATGGTGGTCGTTGGCTTGTTCGCTGAGCTGGGCAATTTGATTGCAATCGTTTCATCACCAATCGAGGTGACATCATCAGTGCGTTATTGTGGAGCATAGTAGTGCGTAGCGGTGGGTTGATGGTTTTGCCGTGTCGATTAAATAAATCACGATTTGGACAATACGATTAGGTCAGTAGTTCGTACCCAAATATTAGGCAGGTGAGGAAATGTGGGTATAAATGAAGAGATACAAGTAACTAGCACTCAAAGAGGTCAAGCATGCTGTGAATTTTTGGAATGCTTGCCAGAGGCAACGGACACACCACCATGGCCTTTATGTTGTTTACCTGCACTGCTTGGTTTGAAACTGTGTAGGTAGCGTGGAAGTACGTTCATGTGTTGGCATGCATTTGGTTCTGTATGCGGACCTTGGTCGAGATCGAATATGGCCTCGTCCCGCGCGAACTTACAGACACCAGTCCAAAATATAGCAACTAGTTTCATCACGCTTTCCAACCGAGCTCACTCTTCGCTCTCACTTCATGCTGTTCAAGTATACCAATACTTTCTTCAAGGTGAGCTGTTTTCAATGTCGAAGGTGCTAAAATCGCATATCCGATATCCCGTGTACAACCTTTCCCAGATGTCCAGCTTTCCAGTTGACTTTCATTGTTAAGCCCCTGATGAAGCATGTGTGACCAGATACCGAATGGCTATCATACACGTTTTGAGCCAGCTGGTACCACAAGCTGACCGAAAATGTATTGGACCGAACAAATAAGCAGCTGCAGCTCGGTTTTATGCATGGTGTCATCGAATCAAAGGATCCCCCCAGCCCTTCAGGAGTTTGGCAATGTATCTTCTGTTGAGGGTAAAATTCAAGGCACAACCAGCAACGCATCGCTGCTGCTTGATGGGAGTTAGTCGATAGCAGGGTCGAGATAGCTCACGGACAACTCACCAATTTACTGAACGAAAAGTTCACTGTTCCAACCAGACTTCTGTATCTCGAATTCTCTTATCTAGGCTTAAGCAACTCTCTCAGTTGGAATGGCAGCTGTGCATCGAAAGGGTGTTACAACTGAACTACTAGTAGGATACGCCAGTAAATACCCGACATCTGTAGTTCTTTTCAAATTCGGAGCCAGCTGGTACCACAAGCTGACCGAAAATGTATTGGACCGAACAAATAAGCAGCTGCAGCTCGGTTTTATGCATGGTGTCATCGAATCAAAGGATCCCCCCAGCCCTTCAGGAGTTTGGCAATGTATCTTCTGTTGAGGGTAAAATTCAAGGCACAACCAGCAACGCATCGCTGCTGCTTGATGGGAGTTAGTCGATAGCAGGGTCGAGATAGCTCACGGACAACTCACCAATTTACTGAACGAAAAGTTCACTGTTCCAACCAGACTTCTGTATCTCGAATTCTCTCTTAAGCAACTCTCTCAGTTGGAATGGCAGCTGTGCATCGAAAGGGTGTTACAACTGAACTACTAGTAGGATACGCCAGTAAATACCCGACATCTGTAGTTCTTTTCAAATTCGGGTATAATTTCCAACAAATCTTAGTGTTCATTACCGCCGCTACGCACACACCCTTAAAAGACAATGACATCAAGGGTGGTGCAGTCCACACAAGTGTCCAACGCGCTTCTCTAAAATTGCAAACGTTTTATCCTATTTCCCCCAAAACGGACACCCACATAAAGACCGCTCTTTTAAAAGTAGCTGCTCCAACTTTCGTAAATTTCTTCCTTACGTGAAGACCACTCCAGAACTACTACTAATCAGTTTCTACAAATCGTCGTGTTAATGATCTTGTTCACTCTACAAACAACTGTCTCCCTAACTCAAGGACACCGAACGCAAGCGTGTCGAATAGGGCTATGTTTTCGGGACAAATGTATATATCTTTGCCACCCCTATGTAGCATCCATCGCCTCATGGGAACATTCGCTGTCACTGTTTCTGAAGACGGATTGTGCTAAACATAGTTCCAAAGAGTTATACCGGCTTACTTTACGCATACCCTCTGATAGCAAGACAGTTAATGTCCTTTCTCATGACGAGCATGCAGCGTCGTTGTCAAGTTTTTTGCGACAGATACATTGCAAGATCCGCATAGAAAACCACTGACTGAGTTGAGTCAGCTTCGAGAGACGGCGGCTGTGTTATATGGTGTTGTAAACCAGGGGAGGGCACTTAGCAGGATGGAGACATAGCCGCAATGCAGTTGCTGCAGCTAGCGATCCCGGTGTTCACTACATTGCGAATTCTGTAATCAACCCAAGCAGCGGCGATCCAACAACTGGGAACCTCGCTGCTCAAAATCTGAGCTTACCCTGGTAATTGGTGTGTGAATTCTAGGAGCAACAAGATCACCTTGTTCTTCGGCACCAACCTCTGTGCTCAAACCGAGACTGGGGTGCCACCCATTAGTTGAAGCCATTTCGAATCTTCGTTGCGTTGCCGTATGATTAGTTGTGCCAGCAGACAGCTTTTGGGGACCAGGACTTGAGAGACGGATGTATGACCTCACAAAAATGCTCACATAAGCGGTACCACCTGGATACTTACGGTAATGTTTGATGAAACGACTGGCTGGAGTATATGATACAAACGTGTTTTCGAGGGCTTCCAAATCCACCGTTGGAATGTGTACCTAGTTGCGTAGCCACGGGCCTACAATCACTTAACGATTGGTTACATCCCCGTAGAAACATGCAATGTACATTAGCGTGCACACTATTAACCAGCAGCCTGTTTTTTGGCGACCAGTATAGTGACCAAGATGTCTTACGTGTTACAGAGTAATCGGTTTTCGTCGACTTTTAACTCAACTATTTCCGATCCACAATTCTGACGTACGGTTTTTTAGGCGATATTGTGAAACGGCCATAAAAGCCTACGCTCCAAAAGGGTCCATATATTTTCATTATATCGAATTAATACCCTCCGAAGAGAAGTTACTCAGGTGAAAGATGAGCAACTCCGTTCTCTGTGTTGAAATTCCTCTGGATTCTGGAATATTTCTTCTTGTCAGTGAAGCCAATCTATCCTGAAAAGCTAAGAATCACTGTACTACTGTCGCATCCTCACTAAGAGTGGCCCACACAGGTCATCTCATGAGACCTTACGGAACCTCGAATCCTCGACCTCACAATTATTGAGTTGAACACGTAACCAGTCGGCCACCAGCGGCTAATCAGTAATGTTGTTAGCTCTCACTTAGACAGGATATAGAGTGGCTGCCTTTTTCTTTACGCGATTCAGGTCACGTAGTCGCATGCGTTGACGAGTTCCTCGAGCAACGACTTTTCACTTGGAAGCTTCACTCATTGGGTGATTTTGGATTTTCTTTTGGGTTGCTTGTAAATTTCATCCTTCAGGTGAAGCTTTCCTTTCAAATCCAAGTCGAAATTCCCAAATCTTTTCACACTAGAAACAGCAGG